GCTTCTGTTGTCTGCAGTAGCCTTGCTAGACTGACACCTACGTGCACTCTACAAGGGTTCACACCAGAGCTGAGGACATGGATATCCTGTTGAGGACATACAGTAGGAGCTTGTGTAAGCAGTGGAAAGTAGGGGGTGAATAAACAGGACTGGTCAGAGGGACACTCATTGTCTTCTTACCCAGACATCAAAATCTGTTCTAAAGCAGAACCCTTGCTTCAGGTGGTTCTGGGAAGCCCATCCCCATCCCCCACCCGCTATGTCATAGATGTGACCACTGTGCTCGATGACTCACCTGCATCCTTGATTCTGAGTATTCAATAGGTTCTAACTTCCTGGATTTGGCTTCCTGTTTTTCGGTACAAAGCTCTCTAAATCTACCTTTTCTAACCTGTCTGAGCCTCCTTTTTTTGTGCGTTTTTTCCCATTAATTGCTTGATTTAATATTCTGTAGTCAAGAAATGGCAGGTCTGAGATTATAACCAAAGATTGAACCCAGTGCTTCACCAAAGGATGAACTGTGCTATGGCGAACGGGCTTCCCTGTAGGGCGCTGCATGCTGTAGGAACCCTGCAAGTATGTGTGACCAAAGTGAGAAGCCTTCCCTCCCAGCCTCCAGCCCTTCAGATGAAGTGTGTCCTCAGGTTTTCCCACATTAGCAACCATGTGACTCCGCCTAGACACAGGCACCACTTTGTAGAAGCCTCAGCATTCAGGATGCTTTTGAGTAAGATTGTGTCTACCTTCTTTTTTCCCTTTAGGGATTTGGGCCTAGCTGTCCCCATACCAGATGGTGAATCCCCAACTTTCTACTTTGTGTCAGTGGGCTCCTTCCAGCACCCAACTAGAAGATACCTTAGCTGAGGTTAAGACCCTTGATCTTGAGCTTGAGGCTGGAATTGGCCTGAGAGGGAAGCAGCATGGCCAGGAACTGTGACTCAGACTGGGATAGAATTCCCCATGGTCCATCATGGTGGGATAAGCTAATCAAAGCCACATGAGTAACAGGGCACATAGTTATTTTAAATATTTATACAGTCTCATTAAAACCAAATCAGGTGAAATTAGAAAGTGGAATGCAAATACTGCGTGAATTGTTGACGTAAAACATGAGATTGTAAAGGAATCTTAAGCTTATTGTCGTCTGCTTCCGGTTAGTCTCTGCTATTATGGGTAACCATAAGGGAAAGTCTAAGACACAATGGTGGAAACAGCTTGTCTTTCCAAGTCAGAGAAGACCATTTAAGTCCTGGCTCGCCCATTCACTAGCTGTGGGACTGTGGGCGAGTGGTTGCTTCCCTTGGAGCCTCAGTTTCTTCATCAATAAAATGGTGACAATCACAATCACGTCTCAGGAGTCTGGGAAGAATTCAGTGAGTTCCTGTGTTAGAGTGTCCAGCTCAGGGTCCACTGGTTCCTGTGCAGGCTGACATCCGGCAGGCCACCACTCAGGTCATACCCAGAGAGGGCTAGCCCTAAAAGCAATCCAGCCCCTTCTATTCCCTCAATGGGAGGCCCTGCTGTGGCCATCTAGGGATCCAGAAGCCCCTGACTGACCAAGGGTCTCAACATCGGAAAAGGCAAAAGGTTGCAATGTCAGGGTGCAGCTGAGATACTTCCTAAAGCTACCTGGGCCATAAGCACACTCAGGTGGAGGATGTTCTGGCTTTTCATTCTTCTCTTACATCATCTCCAAACAAGGTCTATATCTTGGAGGTGAGAGCCACAGGGGTTCTTTAAGTGCTACTGTTTGTCACCCCGGAGACAAGAGGCTAGTGCCTGTTAACAAGACTCAGAGAGCATTATGCTATTTTCTCTGCTTATAATAGGCTGAACCCACCCTGGAGCTGGGGTGGGGTGGGGAGATACTCTAAGGGAGGTGGTGTTTGCTCAGATTTCCTGAGCAAGGATCAAGTTCAAATTCCGGGGCACCAGCACCCTGTCTCCTTCAAATCCTGCCGCACACGTGCCACGTGGGATCTTATAGAAATCATCCCCATCTCTGAGCCATGGTTTCTTCTTGGGTTCCCTGGCCTAAGACCTATTCACTGCTGGCCTTCTTTAGAAGGTGGGTGGGATATCTGAAAATAAGGGCTAAACTGGGGAGAATTGTCACTGCTTGGCACACCCCACCAAGGCCTGAGTTTTTATCATTTTCGTTCTCCATGAAGTCACACTTTAAATTCCTACCATTGGAAATAATAGAAGCCACTGTCATTTCTATCTGCCAGCTATATCACTCCCTCCTGAGCAGAATAAATTCCAGTATTTGTGTTTAAGTAGCTCTCCCCCCTACCCTCATTCTGGCTGGATAAGCCAAGATCTGAGAAAATAGCACACAACAGGCTGATTTGCCATGCTCCAGGCCCTGTGAAGGATGGGGATAGCCATGTGGGGCAGTGGGCTGGAGCCCGGGGAAGCCGGCGGGACCAGCGCTCAGACACACCTGGGAAGAGGCTCATCAAAGCACAAGAGCGAGGAGGTCATCGCGGGGTTCCTTTGCCGAATTTGCTTTGAGACACTTCCTTTTGAACCTCCAAAGTGACAGCCCTTCCTTGATCAAGTTTGGTGTCCCTGGACTTCTAGACAGCTCTAGAGCCTGCGCCAACAGAAGCAGCTTCCACGGGCCCCTTTCATGTCTTGTCCTTGCAGGCCTGGGGATCTGGGTTGGTGACCCTGCTCTGCACTAAAGCAGAGGCCTGGGTTGCTTGCAGAAGCTGAATATTTTGTTCCAGCAAGAAAATAATGAGAGACAGACAGATGGATGTGGTATTAAAAAGTACACGCTGGAGGGAATGTTTTCACAGTGTCTGATGAGAGGAAAAGAGGCAGCCCACTGGCCCAGCAGGACCTCGGCCAACACTAGGCTGAGCACATCGCTGGAAAGCTCTGCTGACTCCTTGCTGCCTATAGGACAAAATCTGCACCTTGGTGGGCATCTGTCCCCTGGACCCTGGTTTATCACCTGCCTCTCCCCTTGTGGTGCTATACCTAGCTGCTGGCTTCCTTCCCACTGCCCTTCCCATCACTTTGCCAGTTCACATGTTGATGTCTTGGCACAAGTCTCCTTTTCTTCCTTGTATTACCTGTTAAGACCCAGCTAGATTAGATGGCCCCTCCTCTACGTAGCCCCAGTAGAGGGGGGTCTCTCTTGCTTCACCTCTACTGCACTGTAGTTCAATTTCCATAGTGGACAATGAGTCCTTGAGGGCAAAAGCTGTGCCTTCTCTGTGTCCCATGTACTCTGCCTGGGGCTAGACCTGCCTCCCAGATAAAGCCTCCATAGATTGCCAGCCCACCCTGTGGCTGTCAGACATTGCGCCTAAGCTCCTGCTAGAGACCAAAGTCAAGAGTGTTCCTGGGTGGTCCCCTCACAGCCTGAGAAAACAGGGAGTTGTTTTCAATAAGAAATTAGATGTGCTAGCTTTCCTGGGGAGCTGGGAATGAGTTACTGAGATACATTTGAACTTCTAGGCTTCTCAGAGGAACTGGCATCAAGAAAGAACTAAATTTCCATTTGTGGAACTCTCTGCTCACAAGTTGCTGGCCTTATTTTCCCTCCATAAAATAATTGCTTGGCTCGGGAGAAAAAATGGAAAAAACAGTAAAGTCTCATTGCCATCACCTGCCCTTCTGAAAGTCAGGATTTCGTCATGAAGGAAGGTGCCTGTTTCCTCAGCTGTGCAGTGGAGATGGTAACAAGCTACTCTGACTCACCCAAACTTTGGACAAGACCTTGGATCCCCAGGCCTGATTCCCTTGGCCTGCGCTAAATCAAAGTATAACGGGGCTGACAATGGCCTTTTCCAAGGGGGCAGCTGGGCTTGTCTAGGAAGGAGTTCGGAGGTGGAGATCCAAGCTATGCACAGGCTGGCGCTCTGCACCTCTACACACCCCAGAAACCAAAAGGAGCATCTTCACACTGTCCCCTCTCTCCCTTGCTCAATCGCTGTGCTGTCCGGGTGGGCTTTTAGGGACGTTGCTCGGAAAGATGACAGGCCCTAGAGATGTCTCTTAGAGTTTCACACTCAAACTCCCACTTCCTTTTTTTTGACAGAAGAGACTAAAATTTGACACCCCCCTCCCCAAGAAAGTTTTTTTTTTTCCACTTACACTCTGGAAAATAATCAAATCTTATCCTGCTTGTCTCTCGAAAAGCAAGCGACCACCAAAGAGACACAGGGGTGGGTCAGCCCAAACCCTATCCCGGGGAGGTGGTAGGTATCCTTTCTATAGGGATAAGGAGGAGCAGCAAAGGTCCCTGCAGGTCTGCCCCCTCCCACTGGCCCCCTCCCCCCACCCCACCAAAGCAAAGACAACCTTTCTCAGAAAGTGCTGAGGACACAGCTTGTTGGCCAGTGAATGCCAGACGGTCAAGGCCCAGGCTGGGGGACGGGTACAGAGTGGTCATGGGCCACAAGCCTCATGCAGATTCAGTGTGAGAATGGTGGTGGGGGGAGGTCTAGGGTGCACCCCGAGGTCATGCTGGTCCAGACTACAAGTGTCTGGTGCCAGAGGCCCCTGAAGGCGATTGCAGGGGGCAGCAGAGCAGTTAGCCCCAAGAACCCTAATCTCTTCCATGACTCAGAGGAGCAGAACATACATCTCCTTCCCCCCTGGAAGCAGGGCAGGAGAGGCATTGCTGAGTTTCCCACGCCCCAGCACCAGCACAGTTGGCCACCACAAGGTTCACAAACTCAGAACAAACACAAGCAAGAGGTCTGGGAACCAAAAACCGGAGGCCTTGCTTGGGGGCGCACTTCTGCTTGGGCCCATGGCTGTGGCTGGTCAGGGTGGGAGGGAAGCCTGGGCCTTGCACAGCGGCATCTCCCACCACTCTGGGAGACCCCTCAGAAGGTGCAGAGCCCACCGCGGACATTGGGCCATCAGTCTTCTTCTTGGAGTTGGGCAGGGGTGCCACCTTGGTCACTGCCAGTCACAGAAAAGGGAGCTCAGCCACAGCAGCCTGAGGCCTCCGGCAGATCCCCCATCCCACCGAGCTAAAAGGAGCTTAAATATTCCAGTGCCACCTCATATACAAATTTATACTGTTCCTGAGAGGAGGACAGGAGACAAGGGAGGGGTGAGAAAGAAAAAGAAAATGCATTTAGTTTCGAGATACAGGTTTGGGAGAAAACCTTGTCTACCTTCACACTTAGCTCAATATTATCCGTCTGGCATCCTTCCTGCTTCTACCTGAGCTTTCGCGAATGCCCAGGTGGGGTCACTCCCTTTCTTTCTCACTGTTTTGTACCACAGTGCCTCTTGAACTGTGATGTGCATACGAGGCACCCCAGAGTGTTTTAAAAATGTACATTCCGATTCAGGAAACCTGGAGTGGGACTTGAGGTGCTATAACCAGCTCACAGGGGATGCTGGTCTGTGGATCACACCTGGCACAGGACCTCGATCTGAGTGGGTCCACACGTTAATAGGTCTGAAGACTTTTACGTTCTTGCCTATGGTCTGTCTCCACCACCACGCCAGGCCCTATTGTCTGGGGCTCTGCCTGCCCACTCCCTGCACTGTCCTTTCCTCCACAGTGTCCTAGTTCAATGCTCTAAACTGCAAGAATTAGCATAAATGAATTAGAATAGGATTGGACTGAATTGAAAACATATTCGCATTCCACTTAATCCAGACTCCTTTCCGCTAAGCCTGAATTAATGACACTGTCTTAAGGACTGGGCAGTAAAGCAAAGTAGGTGTGTCAGGATTAATATTTGGATTTCCCTGAAGGAATGAGAAGTTGTGGGGCTCAGGAGGGGAAGAAACTGAATAGACAATGTGTATACGAAGGGCACAGAATGTTGGTCTTCGATAAGAACCTGGCTGTTGAGAGCCTTACTATGCCATGTCCTTGGCTCAGGGGAACTACAGCCGGCCCCTGGCTATAAGAGAACAGATCTTGGGACACTCACCAGGGTCTCCACCATGTTGGATTTGTTGTTTCGCAAGGTTTTCACGATGTGGAACACGTCAATGATGTTTTGCTGCTGGATCATCTCACACACGCTGCAGATGGCACAGAAGGTCCCGCTGCGGCCTCCCCCGTTCCTAAACACAGAGTGGAGAGGTCAGCCCCATTCCCAGGTCTCCCAGCTGCTGCTGATCCTAAAGCCGCAGCAGTAGCCGTGGCAAGTGGCTGCCCCGGCCAATGCAAGGAAGGCACTGGTGAAAACATCAGCATGAGCCACTAGTTACAGTATGGGCCTCATCTATGCCATGAACCTGCTCTGACCTTGGGCAAATCACTTCCCCTCTCTGGGCCCCAAGTTCTCCATTCACGTAATAAAGGGGTTGGACTTGATGACCCTGGAGAGTTTAGTTAGCTTGATGTCTCCTTGGTTCTAAGAGCATGATACAGTCCCCCCCAAGACACACTGAGTCCCAGGGCAGGATGATACTGTGTCTTTGTACACATGGTGCCTTGTCCAAAGGATGCTCTGGGTCTACCTATAATCTGATAGAGGCAATAGAAATTTCTGGATGATTTTCCTACCTGTTATTTCTATCTTTCCCTAAGGGCAGCAATGCTCTATTAACCTATGACCAGCCAGCCCAGGCTTGGAGGCAGGGGTTGGGGTTGGCCTGAGAGGCAGCTGAAATGACAGGTCTCCACTGTACATCTTGGTTTAAGCAAGGCCCTACCTACTGATCTTGAGTGTAAGGACAGAGGGCATGTGGCAAGGCCATGCCTCTGTTATTCTTTCTTTCTGCAGCTCCATAAGTCATCTTCATGGAAACACCCCTCAAACTCTTTACAGAAAGTCCTTTTAGGAATCTTTCTGATTCAGAACTCCTGGGCATGTTGCCAAGAGTAACTAATGATTTCACGTAATGGTCTGTGTCTGAAGAACATCTGGATGGAAACTAAGGCACTCAGTCAATCTCCCAGATGTTTCAGCTTCAGGATACCCAGCAGCCAGATGTTTCGAGCACAGATAGTTGCCCTCCAGTCACTGACTGGTGCCTGCAATTCAGGGTCTGTAAGGAGTCTGTGGCCCTCAAGGGCGTCAAGGTCTTTGTTGGCAGAGGTTACCCCTGTGCTTTCCTTTGGTTCAAACTACTGGTCATCTTGGCTGGGGGGAGGATATAGAAAGGTCCTCCTGCAAGAAAAGCAGGCTAAAAACTAACATGAGGGCCATAAAGGGAGGGGCCTCCAGGAGGGAGGCACTAGCATTTTCTGAAGGAAGAATAGCATGGTCCAAGAGGAAGAGGTGAGTGGACACAGGCATCTCGGGACCCTGTAGTGTGAGACCCTGAAGGGGTGGGGATGGCTCTGTGCCAATGGCAAGGACACCTGAATGTGTGGGAAGGAATTAGAGGCAGTAGGGATAACTATTCAGGAAACCAGCCACCAGTTTATGGGACAAAGGCAGAGCCAGCTTGGACTGGTTGATGTCACCCAGAGACCTGGCAAGGGACACCACACAGCATCTCCCTAGACTCCAAACTCCATTGTGAGATTAGCATCCTTTGGGAAGGAAGTTAAGCCCTGTATGTGTGTATTTTAACCTCCTATAAGCTCCCAGCTTTCCCAATGTGTACACGTATTACCCATTTGACAGAGGGATAACAATTAGCTGGTTTTGAAGGCTGAACTCAATTCTGAGGTCAGTTAGATGTTCTTAAAGCCTCTGCCTACTATAGAAATATTTGTTCTGAAAAATATTTGTTTGGTTCAAATTCTTCAACACAACATTTTAAAAGATGAGGGTCTTCTAAAATTCTCCCCAAATCATTTATATTCTAAGAAGCAAAGTGAATCTCTGTTGTCAAACATTCGACGTACAGCTGTGACAGCTACCAATTTGCTTTGGGTCTGAGATCTTTGTAGAATCCTTCCCTGTGGTCACTTTAGATGCCTATGGCAGACTCTGTGACCCTTGCTCTTTTAAGTAATTACATTTACATCATTTGCATTCTTGATATCTATGTTGGCAGATAGATGGCATTTATTTTCTAACCCTTTCATATCAAAGTATCATGGGATCTGAAGATCATCTCATTCAACATAGCCAATGGATAGACAGGGAAACTGAGGCTCACAAAATTAGGTGGTTTTCTTGTGCTGTACAACTTGTCAACCCCAGGCTTCTAAGGGTCGTGACCTTTACCCAGTATAGTGGCTCAGAGTTCATCTGACCGGGCCATGCTTATTCAGAGACAGGAGGTCAAGGCTCTCGGGCACACCATAAGGGAGCTCTGAACACAGCTGGTTTTGAGCCCACTGTGGCCCTGGGAAACAGTGTTTCCAGGGCCCTTTGAATCAGCCCATTAGGGCAGTGCCTCCCCAGTTCCCACTAAGCCCATAGTAGAGATGCTCCAGGAGGGAGACACTGAGGACCAGTCCTTTGGTTTACTCAGGGGCAGTGTGGGCTAGGATTAGCCCAGAGTGCATTAGCTCAGAGTCCAATGAATGCAAACCATGGCCCTGTCTTGACTTCCCGGGACCTTACCAGATCATCCTACCCTGTCTGTGCCTCCATTTCCTGACTATAAAATGCTATCTACCTCGCAAATGGAATGAGGTGGTCCATTTAAAATGTCTGGCTTAAGGTAAGCTCACTCAATCTGCACCTCCCCTTTCTTCTTTTCCTCCTCCTCCTTCTTTAGGAAATAATAAAGGTGGCTCTGGTCAGTGGAACCCACTTTGTCCTGAGCTTTCCTGGGACTGGCAGGACACAGTGTGCCTCCCTCTGGAGAGCATGGCTCACCTCCTACTGGGAGCATCAGTGGCAGACCAATCCCCTCCATTGTTTATGGAAAGGTTGCCAGGTTTTGCCTCAATAATATGTCACATAACTAGAGTTCAGGATGACAAGTTGGCAACCCCATTGCATTAAAGGATTGTAATTCCTCTGAATACACTGCTGTTGGACTTTAAGGGATATTGAGAAGCATCCACGAGGATGCTCTATTGCCTATCACCCCCTTGCCCTGGCAACACCTCCCCAGTACTCACAGGCAGTGGACCACAGTGCGTCCTTCCCTCCCGTCATACTGCTCCTGCCACTTCTCCAGCCGTCGGACCACTTTGAGCAGAGAACGCTTGGAGGGGGGTGTGTCCCGGTAGGCAGGCCAGCCGATGTACTGGAGGTGCTGGACTATACGATAACCGTCCTGTGGCTGAGAGCAGAGAGGCTGTTAGGGCTGTTCTGCTGGGAATGCAAGCCTTGCAGATAACATGGATCTAAGCCATGTCCTCAGGGAGAGTCAGAGACTACACACCTACCTCTATACCTTTACATACATTGATTCTCCTGCTCTGAATGCCTTGAGCTTCTATCTGGAAAACTCCTATTCAGCCTCCAAAACCCAATTCCAACATTCTTAGGAAAACCTTCTCTGTCTCTACTGAGCAGAGTTCTCTGAGCATATCTCACTTTCTCATTCTGTATTAAGTTCTAAGGGTAAGGACTGAGTTCCATCCACCCTGGGCCCCCCGTAGAGACCAAAGTTGCTGTAGTTAGCCACCATTCATAGATTACTAGATTACGAATGCTCTCTGCCACCCAATACACCTCCATTCAGCAAGGAAATATTCTCATGGAAGCAACTAATTATCTTTCCTCTCAGTGTTTGCAGGACCTGGCCCAAGTTTTATTGGAGCCAATCAAAGGCCATATCAACTTGGCCAAAACAGTGTGACACAGTGGGGAAGAACTAATGTCTGCGGAGTTTTGTCTACATGGCAGCAAGTGTGCCGGGAAACAGGCAGATGGCAGGGTGGATGCTGCTCTTTGAATCTCTGTGTTGTAGTCATTGCTGGGTGTGGAGCTGGAATCAGCAAAGGCATCTCTTCCCTGAGGAAGGGATTATCAGGAGAGAGTGACACAGACGCTTGGCTGGCTCAGCAGATCCTCTCCCCGCAGCCTCCATCTGCTGTGGGGAGGAGGGGCACAGCACACCATGGTGGCCCTGTGCTTACCCGAGCCATGTTACAGATGCGGAATATTCTGTGGATGATGTCCTCATCGATATCTGCCGAGACGAACTCCACCTGGATGGGCCCGTAGCACCCAGAGGTCTTCTCGGGCCAGTACTGCATACAGAGCTGAGATAAGAAAAGACATCAAGGAAGGAAGCCACGGATAAGGGGTGGGGGATGTCAGTGTCACTGATCACCAAACTTTTCTTATTGCTGGCAGGACACCTTGGCTGGAGAGGCAGAGTGTTATGTAAGAAATCAGACTCAGTTTCCCCTGTGGTACTGAAAGTCCGAGCCTTTGCCATCTTGAGTTCAAGCCATTTGTTAGGCTTGGTGGACCTCAGTTTCCTAATCTATAAAATGGGGAGAATGATACCCACCTTGAATCCCTGCTATCAGGATTAGGTAGAATGCCCTGAGAGAAGGGAAAATACAATCTTCTTGTTTGTATTGTTCCAGGAAAATCTTCACAAGGCTCATTCATGATCAAATCACACGCAGTATTAAAAATATATAGGTTTGACATCAGACAGTCTTGGGTCCAAATCTACGCTCTGCTCCTTCCTAGCTGTGGGACCCAGGACTCAGTTTTCTCATACCTAAAGTGGGGAATGAGACTTGCTTTGCACCAAAAGATAGCCTTATGTGGTGTTGAGGGATCTCCCCTGTGAGTTTTCCTGTTTACCTGGAATTGGAAATTAGGACCTACAATGGAGAGCAAAAGGCAGCAATGGTTTCCTCTCAGCCTAAAACTGAGGATGCTTTGTTCCCCAGGGGACATCTGGTTACTTCTGAAGACATTTTTGATTGTCACATCTAGGGGTTGCTACGGGCATTTAGTGAGTAGAGGCTAAGACGCTGTTTAATCCTACAATGCACAGGACAACTCTCTCCTCCAAGAGTTATCTGGCCCCATTATCAACAGTAGAGATTGAGAAACCTTAGCCTAAGATCACAGATTCTTGTTTAAGCTTGTGAGTGTCATCGAGAAGGAGATGGATAGCTCATTGCCTTGCATCTGTTGAACCACTAGATGACTTTAGTTGAGGAAAGAATACTGAGATGGGTGGTGGGGTATAGGGCAGAAGAGAGGGAGGAGGCATGCTCCCTCGAATTCCTCATCCCCAAGGGGCATAGAGATGGACACTGCCTAGATCAATGGGCCCCAGAGTTGGGGTACAGAGGAGAGCTAAGATTGGGCTGCAGGCTGGCTAGGGATGAAGAGGCTATGTGTTAGAAAGACCCTCCATCTAGGGGTTGCCTTGAAGATATAGTCAAGACTCACAATGACCCACCAATGATTCTGAGAGCAGCTTGAGATTGAGTCTCTCAGTGGGGTCTGCCACAGCCTATCCCAAGCTTGCAGACTAGGGGTTAGATTGGCAGAGGTGATTCAATGTCTTTAACTCCCTCCTTTCTCCAGAACTAGAACTGGAAGGGAAAGGCAGGGAGGAAGAAGGATGTAGGAGAGAGAAATGCCACACCTCACACCTTTCTAGCTGTGGGAACCCAAAATTCTACCTGCAGAATAACATCATTCCCCTTAGCAGTGGTTGGCATACAATGGCCCAGAGGCCCAATACAGCAAATTAAGCTGTGTTGAAACCTAGCTACACTTAGGGGTTTACATATTGTCTATGACGGTCTTCGTGCCACACTTGCTGAGTTGAGTAGTTGCAACAAAGCCTGTATCACCTGTGAAGCTGAAAATATTTCCTATCTGCCTCTTTACAGAAGAATTTTGCCAATCCCTGCTTTGTAGGGTTGTTCTGAGGATAAAGGAGTTAATTCAAATAAATAAGCCCTTATGACAGTGGCCGTTACAGAACACGTGTTCACTACATTTCAGTGATTCATACCATTAGTAAACCCATCAGTGCTCAATGAAAACAATAATAATAGCAAACATATAAACATTTGAACGATTCTAGTATGTGTGCACACATACATGTTAGCACCCCTCTTAAATAGCCGAGACCCGCAAGGCTCATTTGCATAATGCAATGGTGCCTTGCTCCCCCAGTATCTCCACTGGGGGTTGATTGAGCATATTGAGAAAGAATCTGTGTGCGCGCGCGCGCGCGTGTGTGTCAGGGGGTGGTCCCCACGGCCTCCATGGCTGGGCAATCATCTCCCGAGCTGTGCAATAATGACAAATCCACAATTTGAACTTCATTTCTCTTTGTCATTGGCTCTTCCGCAATGCAACCTTCCCAGTAATGAGGCCCTAGTCCAGATAAGTCTGTGGCTGGCCAGAGAAATCAGAATTAATCAGAACTGCCCATTAAAAAAAATAATTGCACTTACCATGTGCATTGAATTTAGCCTTGCCAGAGTTTGGCTGTGATCCTGACATGAGGTGCATGGGCTTGAGGCATCAGGCAAAGCCTATTACCCCCAATATTTTCAGTCTGAAGAGAAGGCGGAATGATTTGTCTCTTTTTATAAGGTTTCCAGACCAATTTCTCAAGCTAATAGGTTCTACGGTGCCTCAAACAAGACTCCTGTATTTCAGGACACTTCTCTGCATCTGATTTTCTGGATCACTGTCCCATAATGCCCAGGGGACCGGGGAAGGTCATAGGGCCTTTCTAATCCTAAATCAGAGCTATCTTTTCACCCAGATTCCCTAAGTGGTGAGACCACATCAGCAGGAGAAATGGGGTGACATTCAGCAGGGTGATGTGTGGGCAGATGTGGTATTTGAGCCCTAGGCATCGTTTGAGCTCCCTGGACACTGCATGTAATCTAGCCGCAGGAAGTGAGAGAAAGAAGTGACAAGAAATACCCTCTCCAGCTCAGTTCAAGACCGTCCCGGTGCGTGAGTGCTGTGGCTACACGGAGTGGGTGCTGCCACTTTGACCCATGTAGCAAAAGGTGGTAAAATGTGTGGAGGCCCCTTCTCCAAGTGTGTTGGGTTCAAATCCCAGCTTTCTTACTTTTGAGCTGAATGATGTGGCCAGATCTTTTAGCTTCTCCAGTTCACGATGAATGGCTATGAGTTTTCATGTCTACTTTGCATAGGAATCTAGTGAGGACTCAATACATGTGAGCTGTAAATATTAGGTGGTGGAGAGGGGAGGATTACTCAGAACAGGATGGAGAAAGATACAGGTTTTTTTCCCCCCTCCACTTAGTAGCCCCATGAAAACTTTGCTTTAGGGTAATACCCAAAGAGCTACCCTTGTGAGAATTCTTGACCAGCTGACCACAGCTGGGAAGATGAATAGCAACTTGGATATGCAACCTTGTATGTCAAGAGAGACCTGTAGTCTGTCTACTCTAGCAAGTTGAAAGACCCAGAAGATAAAAGAAGATTGGGAGCACAGTGGAACAAATGAGGGGTATAAGGTAACTCAATATGTCAACTCCTAAATATTCTCTAGGTTCTTAATAGCAGGTATAATGCTCAGAGTACATGGATTTCCTGTGGAAACCAGCAAAGAACCAAGCTTTGCCTTCTGGTTCACATAGAAATGAAACAGATCACAGATGTGCATGGAGGTGCATGTACTCTTGGGGAGGGGAAGACGCATGGCTTCTTAAGGCCCAGAAAATAGGGATTCTAGGAAGCCCACTTGGTTCTCTAAGACCATGAGGACCTAGCTGATCTTGAGACCACACCTATACTCAAAGCAACCTTGGTATTTTCTTCCTTGGATGAAAAACTTGTGAAGTGGGCCGATCCTAGAACAGATCGACATTCTTTTTTGTTTTATTTTGTTGTTGTTGTTGTGGGTTTTTTTGGTCTTTTTTAAGATTTAGGCTTGAATCTGGACTGACTGTCTCACCTCCTTACAGTGACTTCTCCAACCCTGTCTTTCCCAATGGTCCAGGGGTGGGGCAGTGTTGCCTGAAGGGAAAAGCTTCACCACTGCGGATAAACAGGTGGTGGTGACCAAACTTGGGAGGGAAGCCAGTCTCGTTGCTGATGATTTAGAAATGACTGTGCTTCTTCCAGAAAAACAGGAGCCTTTGTTATTTACTGTCAGAGCGGGTTAAGCCAAGCAGAAGCTGTGAAGCCTGTGTGGACAGCCCTGGAAAGGCTGCCACACATCATTCCACTTTGTGATCCCCAGAGCTGCTTGGGCCATGCAAAGATGTCCATCAGGGGTGCAAGTTCATGCATGAAATATAACAAACACAGAGGTAGCCCCACTCATTAAACATCTTTTTCTTGCTGATGGAATCAGAACCCTTGTTAGTCCCTGGAATAAACATGCTCTGATGAGTTGAATGAAAACTAGCATACTGATCTTTGGAATAAACAATTTTAAAGCATATTTTGGTACATCTTAGTAATGCCTTTCTTTAATTAAAGAAAGACTTTAAAGAAATGGAAAGGGCAAGTAATATTGTAGCAGGACTCCACTTATCAAGGTCCCTGTGACCCAGCAGGGGGGAGATCACCTTCAGGCCACCTAAAGGTGAATTGAATTGGTACTTTTAGGGGAGAAATAGAAAAGAATTTCCTGAATTGTTTTTCAAATTCAGATCAGTAATTCTGAGATTCCTTTAAACACATTCTATGAAGATCCAAAAATATATAATTGGCTTTGACAATGTGGCCAATTAAAGATGACAGATTGTGGGTGAAGGGGTGAAGAGGAAGCAAGGGACAGAGAAAGGGACACCAGGACAGCCAACGAAGCACGTTTGTACGTCTCTCTCCAGGAAGTGCTGATGCAATCTCCACGTAGTCCGTGGAGTAGCAGCTGCATCAGAGTTTGTTTCTGGGATGAATCTTGGTGGGTGGAGGCAAGGCTCAGGGAAGGTTTTAGAAAGAGGTCCTAAGGAGACAGCTGAAATTTGTGTCTTAAGAAAGGAACCACTTTGGGGGAGGGAATGGAAGGGCTGAGAACAGAGGAATGGAAGAGGAGGTAGACAGGGCAAGAGAATTGGGCGGTTTGGTTTGGGAAGAGAATTGGAGGTTTGGGCGATCTGGTTAGGGGAAGATATGCAGCTGCTGGCCGGGGAAGTCCAACCTTAAGTCATGGGCACTGTGGGAATGAGGACCCCTCCTCGACCCTCCACCATGGAGCCTCAGCTGGAACCTGGAAGTTAATGTGAGAATGAGAACCCCTTGGAGTCCTCAGAAATCTTGGCATAGACTTTGGGTTTTCCCA